AATTTCGAAGAGTTGAGAACGAACTTGGGCGTCAATTTACGTTCGATGCCGCTTGTAACGACTCGGGCGACAACAGTCTCTGTTCGCGCTTTGCCTCTCCATCCAACTCGTTCTTTGATACGGACGTATCTGGCGAGTTTGTTTGGATCAATCCCCCATACACTCATATTAAAGAATGGCAGCAACATTACCACCGCTGTAAGCTAAAAAATCCTAAAACAACTTCTGCGGTGTTTGCCGTTCCTAAATGGACTCAAGTCGAGTGTCTTATGCGTTCCGCTGGATACCAGCTACTCAAAACTTATGCTGTTGGAACACAGTTGTTCTCCCAACCAGTAGACGTTGGAACGCGTTCGGACTTGCCGGGCATCCCTTGGCCATTACAGCTTTGGTATGACCCGCCGTCCAAATCAGTGCAGCTTAACAGCTTGGATAGCAATGGCCGCACTATGCTTTTTGATGCTCGCTTGTGCCAAACGGCGTGCAAAGTTCTTGCCGACTCCGGTGCCAATTGCGGCCGGGTTGCCGACGGCTTCATTTCTCTCGAAGCTGTCCGCAGGATGGCTCTTTCTGTCCGTCCTTGCACTATCTCTACTGTTCGCGTCGCGAATGGAACTCACGAGCTTATCAATGGCTCGATTACCGCTAAGCTCCGTATAGGCTCCTTTCATGAAACAGTCACACTACTTGTTTTAAAGCAAGGTGTTCCAGGTGTTGAAATTATTCTCGCTGATGACTGGTTGGAGCGCAAGAAAGCGAAAATGTGTTGGGAATCACACACGCTTACAGTACGGAAAGCTACCGGCGATACCGTTGTCCTGAGGCCTTCCTTTTGGTCTTCAGCAGACGACGACGATCACTTAGATGGTATTGCCATCATGAATTACGTTACCGCCACTCTCTATGCTGCGAGTACGGTGGAAACGATGTCAGCTAAAGCAGCTGCACGGAGGATTGCCAAAGGCGCACGAAGCTATTTAATGCTTGTGCAATCTGAGCTCATTTCTGAATCCTCGGCGTCTGCGGAGACACTTCCTCCCGACACCGACATAATCCCCGAAGCAACATTGCAAGGGTTGCTTGACGAATACAAGGACGTATTCGAAGAGCTCAAAGGCCTTCCTCCAGATCGCGAAGTAGGTCATACGATTCCACTAGTGGAAGGGGCTGTACCGCCCGCTAAACGATCGTACCGGTTGACTCAATTAGAGCGCCAAGAGGTCCGCAAACAGGTCACCGAATTGTTGAGTAAGGGCTACATAGAACCCTCTACTTCTCCTTACGGTGCACCCGTTATCTTTGTGGAAAAAGCTAACGGTCAGGGCCTTCGCATGGTCTTGGATTACCGTGCGTTAAACAAAATCACGATCAAGCGGCGGTATCCTATGCCAAACATTACTGACCTCTTCGATCAACTCCAAGGGGCTAAGATATTAAGTTCCCTGGACTTACAGCAGGGCTACAACCAAATTCGCATTACACCAGAGGATGTTGCGAAAACGGCCTTTATCGCTCCGGGAATGGGCCAATACCAGTTCAAAGTGCTGTGCTTTGGACTCACAAACGCCCCTGCTACGTTCCAAGCGGTGATGAATCGGATCTTCGCCGAACACATTGGCAAATTTGTGCTGGTGTACTTGGACGACATTCTGGTCTTCAGTAAGACCAAGGCCGAGCATGAACAACACCTAAGGGTGGTGTTGTCCTTGCTTAGAAAGCACGAATTCAAGGCAAAGATGTCTAAGTGTCAGTTCAACCGGACCGAACTGCACTTCCTGGGCCACGTAGTCAGCCGTGACGGCTTGAAAGTAGACGAGCGCAAAGTTAAAGTTGTTAAAGAATGGCCGGTACCAACCGACGCCTCTAAATTGCGCGCGTTTCTTGGCTTAGCCAATTATTTTCGGAGGTTCATCCAGGGTTATTCCTCTCTCGTGGCCCCCCTCACAACCCTAACAAGTGCGAAAGTGCCCTTCCACTGGACAAAGGAGTGTGATACTGCCTTTCAGGGTGTGAAAGATGCCTTGACAAACGCACCAGTATTAAAACTCCCTGAGCTTGACAAACCCTTCATAGTTTGGTCTGATGCGTCGCTGCATGGCACTGGCGCTGTCTTGTTACAAGACGACCGACCAGTTGCTTATACAAGTTCTAAATTCAGCAGCGCGGAATACAATTATTCCACCACAGATCAAGAATGCTTGGGCACAGTCCTGGCAATGGAGGAATGGCGTTGTTACTTGGAAGGTGCGAGTCATGTCACCTTAGTAACGGACCATCAACCTTTGGTCTATCTGCAAGAGCAGAAAAGCGCCGATAAACTTTCCAGAAGGCAAGCTCGATGGTTGGAACGATTGTCTCGATTCCAGTTCACTTGGGAGTACCGACCCGGACGGATTAATGTCGCAGACCCTATTAGTCGGGTTCACGACACGGTGCTTAATGTGCTTACGGCCTCGCTGGCGGACAGCGACTTGGGACACCGAATCAAAAGCGGGTACGACGGTGATCCAAACCTTGCTAAATCAAGAGTAGCCAAGCTGCAGTTAAAACGAAGGAATGGGTTCTGGTATCGGGGAAACCAGATCTATGTCCCTCATAACGCTGAACTGCGAAGAGCCATCTTGACCGAGTATCATGATGTCCCTTACGCAGGCCACCGCGGTATAGACCGCACCAAACAAGCGATCGCACAATCATATTGGTGGCCAGGGCTTGACTCTGACGTTAAAGAACACGTCAAATCATGTCCCCAATGTCAGCGTAACAAACCAACAAATGCTAAGCCGGGTGGATTACTGCAGCCCCTTCCCATTCCAACGGAGGTGTGGGAAAGCGTGACAATGGATTTGGTTACGCAGCTACCGACATCCCGCAATGGGCACGATGCGATTGTAGTGTTCGTGGACCGGCTGAGCAAAATGACGCACTTTGCTCCCACACACACAACCGCTACAGCTGAAGATGTAGCTCGCCTCTTTGTGGCTACCGTCTTCAGGCAGCACGGCCTTCCAAAGAACATTATTTCAGACCGGGACTCTCGCTTCACAAGTAATTTCTGGAAGGAAACATTTCGCCTGTTGGGCACCCACCTCTATATGAGCACAGCTTTTCACCCGCAAACAGACGGGCAAACGGAACGCATGAATCGCGTTCTGGAAGAGACACTCAGGCACTACATCTCACCCACTCAAGATGATTGGGATGAGCATTTGCCACTGATTGAGTTTGCCATAAACAACTCAAAACAGAAGGCAACGGGGACAACTCCGTTTTCCCTGAATGGTGTTCGACAACCACGTGTGCCGGTTGACCTTCACCTCAAAACCAAGGTGCCTGCCGCTCAGAAGCAAGAAGCGATGCTTCGTGAGCGTATAAGCAAAGCTAAAAAGTGTCTCTTGGCTGCGCAACAAGTCCAAAAGGACGACGCCGACATGCATAGGCGTCCAGTGCGTTACGAGGTTGGGCAGAAAGTGCTGTTATCTACTAAAAATATTACATTAAAAACCCCTGGAACTAAGAAGCTGATGCCTAAGTTCATCGGCCCTTACACGGTTGTCGCTCGCGTGGGCGAAGCTGCGGTAAAACTGGACTTACCGGCGGCCTCCCGCCTACACCCGGTCTTCCACGTCTCTTTGTTGAAATTGTACAAAGAAGACGTTAAGCGACAGCCACCGGCGCCACTCGTCATTGAGGGTGAGCCGTATTTTATGGTCGAAGCCATTGTCGACCATCGTGATGTTTCAGTCCGAGGGGGACGTGGAAAAACACGTCGAGAGTATTTAATTAAATGGGAAGGTTACGACTCTAGTCATAATACCTATGAACCAGAGGAATCCCTTCGCCAGTCTACCCCCTTGGCTGAATCCATCGACGAATATGAACGCAAACTGGCGTCTAAGAAACACCCTCAAGCCCCGGAAAAACCCAAGGGACGGAAATCTTCTAAGAAGAAGTGACGCTCCCGGGACGGTTCGCTTCAGAGGGGGGAGACTGTAGCAGGCTACATTTCCCTTAGAATATTTTAACGATTACTTTTAACAATAACTGTTAATTTGTTAAACGATCTGACTCAAGTTTCGTACATGTTCCGAGTTTCGTCACATGTCGCGAACTGGGCAGTTGTTCGTAAGCGAATCTAACGGGCTGGGGCCCCGGGCCCCACCAACATTATCCTAGTACGGCAAGGTCCGTAGTAGAGATTATCCGGCAGGTAGGCCGAGATATAAGCTACCCGGGCGGGGTGTTCTGGCCAGACACTGACGTATCACATTACTAGGTGTTCGGAGTTCAAGACTCCGCTGCCGCCGTCTCTAACTGTTACGTACACATCTTATGTACGCTAGTGCTTGCCGCTTGGTTGGACTTCTTCCTACAACGACGAGGACCAATAACTCCACGCTTCCGCTCTGTCAGTCCTCCCGTCAGGTGAGCGACTGCTACAAACACCCTTGCCCAGTCGACAAACTCGCTGACACCCTCCACGCTGTCTCGAAAAGGCCCCAAAAGCCGCCCTACATGCCGCTCAACAACGGCAGGCTTAGCATGCCAACTAGTATCACCGACCAGCACACTTCCAAGTCGTGCAGGGGTTGTGAACCGAGGTATGAACTTGCCACACGTCCTTTGGCATTAGGTGCGTTCCCTGGCATTATGTTCTTAGAGTTGAGCAGGACATCCTAAAAACATAA